TAGAAGGAGATCAGGTTGGTTAAACAGGACTACAAATATGAAGACAACTATCCACTTTTATAGATTTACTTGCATCTAGAAGCATTTGCAGGGCTTCAGGCCTAGATCCATAACATAATTTGGGCTTCTTCTTAGTTCCTGTTGGCTTCAAGAAGAGATAGGTGCCTTAACTTCTTTACATATGTGGTTGCTTGTAATTTATTTGCAAAAAAGCTTTTTTTCTAAAGACATCTTTACAGTGGTAGGCATTATCTGCAGTTATATGACCAAAGTATTTTAAGATAAAATATTTCTGTGTGTAGATGAGTTAGTATAATGTTTCATTTTGGAAGGGAACTAGATGATGTTGTAAGTTCCCTTCCAGCCTGAAACATTCTATGATTTTATGATTCTATGATTCTATGATTTAGTAGATTACTTCTTAATCATGAGTTTGGGTTTAGAGCTGTCTTGGTGCAATGGGCTGCAAAGCCAGAGTTGGAGCTTCTTCAACCTAACTTCCTTATAAATACTGTTTATACTTCTCTATGACTACTGCTTGTATTATTTTCATTTGCTATTTTTATAATCTTTCAACTAGGAATCTTACAGGGTCCAGTTGTCCCAGTCACCATCCTTATCTGGACTCTCAGAGTTCCCAACCCAAATAGCCTATTGTCTAAGCAGACAAAAAAGCAGTGGATATAACCCTAAACCAATCTCAGCAATGCTGTAGCTTACATCATGATCTCTATCTATGGTTCTGCTCCTTCTGATTTAATTGCTATTGTACGGTATATGCTCTTTTTTCTTCACATGGGCAATATTATTCCTCTCTGTGTCTCCTGTATCAGCCAGAAATGGGGCTTTATGGATTGTTCCTGTTGGGATGAAAAACGGGCCTTGGAACCAGGTGTCATTTTGATGTAGTTATCTTAATTTACAAAGTTGCCGTCCCCTGAACAGAGTGTCCTTGCTCATAATTCCAAGTCTCTCTCCTATTCAGCTGTCAGCATGGGTGCACTTGGGCACTCTTTCAAAGTCTTTGCTTTTAGTCCTTGGGCTTCCTTTCCACATAAATCACCCCAAAGCACTCTGTGGCAATTTGCTTTCTTGAGAGGGAGTGGTGAATTCCTGTTGTGATACTGAGTGGTTAAAGTGCTTGCAGGAGATTTGCTTTCTTCTGTGAGCGGTTGTGCACAACGGCTCACAGAAGAGTGAGTGGGCATTGCTCAGGCCCTTGGCTGGGACACTGTAGTCCTTAAAAACTTAACTTGTGCTTGGATGAGAGGCTTTGACACAGATTCAGAGACCTCTTTCCAAAAAGGGGCTTAGATTCCTTATCAGAAACGTGATGCTCCATCCATGGGTGGGAGCCTAGAAGGTGACTGGAAACATGTCTGGGCAGGGAGGACCATCAGCCCTAGTGAGGAGGGGAGCAAGGAGTGTGGAAGTGACGGGGAGATTGAGAGCGAGGTGACCTCAGAGCAGGGAGGAGGCGTTGTGGAAAGATCCTGTTGACACCTGGACTGAGCTCTGGCTGCTTCTGAGTCTGTGGCCAGCTCCATCTCAGGTGTGTGGCATCAGGGAGACTCCTTTTCTCCAAACCCACGTGAGCCCAGTGGGAGCCCTGGCTCCAGGAAGGTCTGATGAAAGGCTGATCTCACCTGTTGTCTCATAAGGAGAGGACTTTTCCTGCCAGTTTGAAGTAGCAGTAGTAGGAACAGTAAGGCCAACTTTACTTCAGCACCTCTTCCTTCTCCCTCTCCTGTGGCTCTTGGTGCTGCAGCTGTCCCATGTTGAAAGTAACTGTACTAGTGTTTCTGGCATTTTAGCAAGGACTTTTTCTGGCATGTGTGGTAGCGTTTAGGCATTAAAAATCAAACAAATCCAACCCTGAGAGTTTTAACTTGGGTCGCTTGTGTGGCAGCAACACATCCATTTTTTTTGAGGAAAACTGTTCATCTACAGTTGCCTAAAGCTTTGCAATTTTCCAAAATAATGGTGTATGGGCTAACTGTAAGTGTTCTTTTCTCTTACTTTGCTTAATCTTTGCTTTCCAGTGTGTAAAACTATATGCTAACAGTAGCCGGTTATAGAAGCATATGTCTAGACAGGCTTCTGCTTACCTCATGACAAGTTTTACTCTGAAATATCAAAGACCTGCGGTTCTGGTCATTCCCCATTACATTATATGATTTATGTCCAGCAGTAACTTTGACCCTTTAACCTGACCCACCCCAGTTAGTCCATCTGTATGATACATCAGCTCACATATCGCTGTAGTGCACTGATGTGTATTGATCAAATAAGCTGACCTCATGCATTTCTGTTGGTTTTGTTCTTTGCCTTAGCTTGGCTTTGGATCTTTCCTAGGGATTGTTGGCATCCACCTGGTAGAGAACAGAAGACAGATGGTAAGTAACAGCTTTTTTCATTTTCCTTTCTTTTTGGTATCAGAATGTCTTAAAAACATGAGAAACAGGGATTTCCAGTTGACTTAAACCTACTGCATCTGCCTCAAAACGTTGTTCATTTGTTTCACCATTACTGAGAGGTTTCAAAAAAGCATGAATTGGCCAGTGACTCCCTCTTTAGAAGGCAAGGCATAGTTTCACTTCTGGCAGAAGCAGCCTGGTTTGTGCTTTTTTTACTGAGTTACTTTTCCACTGGTTTAGTGAGTTGACTTGACCCAGGGCAGAATCAGATGAGTGGCAGAGCTTGGCCAGGACCATGTAGCTCTGGAAAAGATGGGGAGAGACAAAATGCGTGGGTCGTGGCAGTTTGGGCAGAAACTATCCACAAGATCAGCTCAACTGTAACAAGTGATCTCATTCTATGCAAGAAGTTTAAGTCAGAAACACTTTCCTGAAACTATATATGTTAAAAAGAAGAAATAAACCCTTGCTAGAAGATTCCCTTGCTAGATCAGACAGGATCTGACAATTCTGTGTGGTTGGTTTTTAGATTTAGCTTGACTTTGGAAACTGCTTGTTTTTATTTATGTGAGAAAGCCATAGGAACTCCTTGGGACATGTGGGTAAAAGAAGGTGTGGAGGACTGAATTTGTGGAAATTTTTACACTTTCCTTGTACTTGACAAAAATAGTAGTGTCTTGGTTGAAGAACAGCATGTCCCATGTGCACTTTACAGTAGACTGATTGTAGTCAAGCATCATGAAATATGATTAATTTCATAATGCAGAGCCTTCACTGGTGCAAATCAAGAGTGGCATTAAGCTCAGAGGAGGAAATGATGGGTTCACTTTATGTTTTACTAACAAGTAGCTACTTCACTTACAAATAGTCTGTTACGATATCCTGTTTTCTTTGTAAATACAGTCTTGTTCTCACTGTTCGTAGGCAAACTTCTTTCATAGTATCAGTTTTTTGCATTGCTTTTAAATTTCAGTGATGTATTCGCAAATATTCCCCTGCTTTTAACTTTTGTTCCTTCATGAGTTTCCCAAATGAGTGAGATTTATAAAGCCATGATGTTTGTCTGTGTCTTTCTCTGTCCCTTACTCCATTTTTTTGAATATGTTAACCAATTTCAGGTGAATTCAGCAGGGAGGTAGAGACTTCAAAGGTGTTCAATTCCTTCAAGTTTCATGAAAATTCACAGGTGGGTAGAGGAGAAAATTATGAATGAGTTCCCCCCTAGTGGTAAAGGCTGCCATATCAGCTCACCTCTTACCAAACACAAGAGAATCCAAATGGGACACGACCGGACAAAAATATGCATCAAGCCAGGCCTCAGTAATTTTGTTACTAATAAAACAGATATTTGATTTTAATAGTTATTGCCCCTGATTTCTAGGTCAGAGACCAGGATGAATGGCAGATTCCAAGTTGCAGACTCAGTGGTGGACAGGTTTGTCTTCCACAGCATTCATGCTACTTTACTAACAGGCATAGCATTTTAGAGTTCTTTTATCTTTCATTTTAGCTGTAATCTGCCTCTTAGTTTTCTATCAGTTCTGTCCTTTGCAGAAAGCAAAATGACCGAAAAAGAGGTTAGATGGATAAGCAGTGGTTAAACCATGTAATGCTCAACATGTTGTGTCGTTTACGATAAAGACTGTAGAGAAACAAGTGTCCAGTGTGTTTGGCATTAGTGCCTGTTTGCGTTTCCCAGCATGGAACAAGGAAAACTTCTTTCTGCTAGTAACAATTAGTGATGACCTGGCTGTTGAAAGATTGGTTTTCTGGTGAACAGACTGAGAAAATAGCTAGAAAGTTTGATTATGCTTCTTATGTGGAGTACTAGCCACAGTGGGCTAAGCCTTTTAACTTTATCTTTGCTAAGGCCAAGATGCTTTTTTTCAGCCATTACTAAAATGAGATTGAAAGGTTTTATGTCATACTGCAACTGAGGGCAGTAATTGTTCCCTGGGGTGTAACTGAGTATATTCAATTGAACGGGTTTAGGGCAGCTTTAACAAATTTGCAGCCATCAACAAGATTGTAATGACTTACGTAAGCACAGAAATGTAACAGAAATGTCATATTCCTGTAACTAAAAATTCCATGCATTGCAGCAGGACAAAAGGGAGTAGGAAGGAATAGAAATCATTTACTCAGTTGCTTATATTTTAACTGGACTTCATTTGAGCAGTTACTACATATAGTTTGAGTTTAGCACAGTGTAGCTCTGACAATTGTCTTGTCCTGTTAATGATTCAATATTTCACTTTTGTTTTTTAAAATTGAAAATGAATATAGATTCAATTACACTAGAAAAAAATCTATTTTAAATTGAACTTTTCTTTGTAAATCTATTATCTTTTTGTCCTGAAGTTCTATTTCCTTGTAACCTATCCTCTGCAAATTCAGATTTATTCATGGTTGAGGAAATGCTAAGTGCAGTATGAAATATGTAACGATTAGCAGAACTTGTGTGGCAAAACCCTGGCGCTCAGCAAAGACAAGCACGGGATTTGAGAAAGAACAAAAGTACAGTTAGGCAGAATGGACAATGGTTTGTTCTTAAAAAAACACGTTAATAACGTTGCGCCCCTTTGACCTTGTTCTTGGCATCCCAGGGCCCGCAGTGGGAGTTCAGTGTGCTGACCAAGGTATAACCCTTAATTCACAGGAACTGCTACTTGCAGAAGCAGGCTCTGCCTCATTGACCCAGCATGATTTCACTTCAGCTCTTAGCACTTGTACTTGGCTCTGTGATGCAGAACTTGGCACTGACAGAACAAAATCTCTCTTTGGCTGAAGATTTGCACTGATTTGGGATGTTTCTAACTGGCAAACAGCAGAAAAAAAAAGAATAATATGTTGCTGTCCCTTTCTGCCTCTCTTGCCCCCTGTAAAGCAGGTCACGGATCGGAGAACAGAGCATAGCTCTAGGTTGTTTTGTTCCAAAGGCACACTTAGTACACTGTATAGGTGGAAAATATGATGCTGCTCAAATCAAATGGACTTGATTATAACACCTGAAGTGTCCTTGCTTGTTTGCTTGCTTGCCACCTCCTCACCTTACAGCACAAAGTATTTCCAGTTAGAAAATGAGATGCTGCAATTGCACACAGGGGTGGGGAAGGCAAGAAAAGCGGGGGTTTCGTGGTAGCAGAACTGAGCTGAGAGCAGGAAGCAGTACTGAGAGAGTGCTGTAATAGGCTTCTACTTGGCTAAATGTGGAGGTGGCATGAGCTAGCACCCAGGAACGAAGCACTCTCTAAATGTGCAACGTCAATAAGACACCCTACACACAGTTTTTAGCCAACCTGATGACTAAACCGAGCACTGGCTCACAGTTTCCACTCACACATCTTTCCAATGCCAGTCTCATTAAGCCATGCTGTTCATGAGGCTGAAAATGAGCATGCTAAAGCTGCAATGCCTACAAGAGTGATTGGAGCACACAAGGGGGCCATAATAAGTGTCAGGGTTTTGAACATTTGCAATATCACGAGGCTGCCTTCAAGAATTCTTGGTAGGGTTGTGGGAGTCACCCCAAGAGCCACAGCTGAGAGCGGCAAAGGCAGGTGGGGGGTGGGAGGATGTCCAGGAACTTAGAGGACACGAGGAGGGTGGGAAGGGGTCAGAGAAGCAAGAGTGACACATCAGAATGTGCGAATTAGTGCAAACCTCAGTGCTACTTGTGATGACGACGGTTGTCTGCAGCAGGTCTGAGATGTGAATTCATCCGTTACCAAATCTTGCTTCTTTTTTCTTCATACTAACACACAGTTAATTTTCTTGGTGACATGTCTAGGACATGCTCAGATGTCAAACCTAATGCACAGCTGGCTCAGCCTGGTCCTTGACTTGTTCAGAGAGACAGCTGTGGTGATTTTAGCTGAGGAGGCATTGCTTCTGACAAAAGTGGAAATTGAAAACATGAGGAAGTTTAGAACAAGGAGCTCTGCACACAAATAGAAGAGGCGAAGCTATTTATTCAGACTTCTCAAGGGATGCTAAGTTTAGGTCCCTTAATATGCTTGCTTCCCAATGTCTGTCAACAATAATTATATTTCAAATTAAGTGCTGAAAAACAAGTGTAGCACAAGTTGGAGAAACAAAGCAGTAATTTTCTCTCCTGTTTTTTGTTGATAGACTTCCCTGACAATGCCTGCGTTCCTACCCTGCGTTGCGATGTATGTGAGATAGTACTTCAGTATTATCTCTGATTATTGTCTTGCCACTAGACTTTGCATGTTTCAGAAGAAGAGCTTTTTTAAAGGAGTTACATGTGTGAGCAAGTTTTCAGAGGAGCCAAAGCTCTTTCGCTTTTCAGAACTGATACATGTTGTAAATAGATTCTGTCTATCAGAAAATGCCCATTGGATTTTTTGTGTAAAGGTGGTGATTATTAATATGTAACCCCCCAAAAGATACTGATATGTATATCTGCTCTGCTCTGTTCAAACATGTTGTACTTCATCATTTCTTCATGCAAATAGAATATCCTGGAAGAAACTGCCTTTAGTGCAGATTTTGATCAAAGTTGCTAATTGCTGATAGATTCCATATCACATATTAAGCTAATTAAAGCAGCTTGTTTACATAAAAGAGAAAAAATATTGAAATTCTGTAGGTCTCCTGAGGCTATCTTTGATGTTCCTGCACAAATAAATGGAAGATCTCTTTACTGTAGTGCAGGAGAAATGCAGATAATATAAAGGCAATCTTTGTCATTACCAAGGTATTACTTCTCCCCTGATTTCAAGTTTCTGAGAAGGTCAACAGCACTTCTTTTTTTTTAACGGGATTGGTTTTTGTGCTCATATTTCACATAGTTCAAGGAAAACCAGTTAATGCTGATACAAAAATTATGATAATGGAAGAAATTAGCAATCACCCTTATTTTGATTAGACCTTTAAAATTATTAAAACTGAAAAGACCTATTAGTACCTTTTCAGTCATAAGTGTGTGCTGGATTTTGTGGTGTGATCTAACTGTG